GGGGCTCTCCCTTTTACCCGTTCCAGCCATCAGCCCCGGCTGCTGCTTCCTGCCTGGGCTCTCTCCTGCTTACCTGTTCCAGCTGTCAGCCCTGGCTGCCACTTCCCACCTGGGGTCTCTTTGCCGCTTACCTGTTCCAGCCGTCGGCCCTGGGTGCCACTCATGCATATGAGACTATTAAAAATACCATGGCTTGGAGCAGGTGCACCTCGATCTTAAAAATAACATCTTTGTTCTTTAACACTTTAAAGAGGTCTCTTGCAGCAGATTTGCCCAGTGCAATACGTCATCTGATTTCTTGACTGCTGCTTCCACGGGTACTGATTGTGGATCCAAGTAAAATAAACTCCTTGACAACTTCAATCTTTTCTCAATAAATTAGGCTGTTGTTTATTGGTTCAGTTGTGAGAATTTTTGTTTTCTTTATGTTGAGATGTAATCCATACTGAAGGCTGTAGTCCCTGATCTTCATCAGTAAGTGCTTCAAGTCTCCTTCACTTTCAGCAAGCAAGGTTGTGTCATCTGCGTTATCTCAGGTTGTTAATGAGTCTTCCTCCAATCTTGATGCTGCATTGTTCTTCATACAATCTGGCTTCTCGTATTATTTGCTCAGCATACAGATTGAACAAGTATGGTGAAAGGACCCAGCCCTGATGCACACTTTTCCTGATTTCAAACCATGCAGTATGCCCTTGTTCTGTTTAAACTACAGCCTCTTGATCTATGAACACATTCCTCAGGAGCATAATTAAGTATTCTGGAATTCCCATTCTTTGCAATGTTATCCATTATTTGTTATGATCCACATAGTTGAATGCTTTGCATAATCAGTAAAACACAAGTAAACATCTTTTTGGTATTCTTTGCTTTCAGCCAAGATTCATCTGACATCAGCAATTATATCCCTCATTTCACTCCTCTTCTAAATCCAGCTTGAATTTCTGGCAGTTCCTTGTCAATATACTGTGGCAACCATTTTTGAATTACCTTCAGCAACATTTTCCTTGTGTGTAATATTAATGACATTGTTCAATAACTTCCACATTCTGTTAGATCACTTTTCTTTGGAATGGGTACAAATATGGATCTCTTCCAGTCAGTTGGCTGGGTAACTACTTTCCAAATTTCTTGGCATAAGCAAGTGAGTACCTCCAGCACTGCATCCATTTGCTGAAACATCTCAATGGTTATTCCATCAATTCCTAGAGTCTAGTTTTTCACCAGTTCCTTCAATTAGACTTCCACCTTCAATACCATTAGTTCTTGATCATATGTACCTCCTGAAACATTGAATTTTTTCTTCAGTTCTTTCAGCTTGGGAAATGCTGAGTGTGTTCTTCCCTTTTGATTTTCTAACTCCAGGTATCTGCATATTTCATTGTAATAATTTACTTTGTCTTATCAAGCTGTCATTTCAAATCTTCTGTTCAGCTGTTTTACTTCATCATTTCTTCTATTCACTTTAGCTACTCTCTGTTCAAGAGAAAATCTTGGGGTCTTTTTTGGCCTTTTCTTCCTTTCCTGTCTTTTTAATAACTTTCGTTTTTTTCATGTATGATATCCTTGATGTCATCCCACAACTCATCTGGTCTTTAGTCAATGGTGTTCAATGTGTCAAATCTATTCTTCATATGGTTTCTAAATTTAGGTGGGACATATTCAAGGTCATATTTTGGCTCTTGAGGACTTGTTTTCACCAGCTTCTACTTGAATTTGCATATAACAATTGATGGTATATTCTGCAGTCAGCTCTGGAACTTGTTCTTACAGATGATATTGAGCTTCTCACTCATCTTTTTCCACAGATGTAGTTGATTTGTGTATTCCATCCAGCAGGGTGCATTTACAGAGTATCCATATATGTTGTTGAGAAATGGTATTTGAAAATAGTAAGTTGTTGGCCTTGCAAAACTCTTCATGTGATGTTTGGTGTCATTTCTATTACTAAGGCCCTAATTTCCAACTACAAGTGTTTCTTCTTGGTTTCCTAGTTTCGCATTCCAAACACCAGTAATTATCAATGGATCTTGATTGCACGTTTGGCCAATTTGGGTAAAAATCTTCAATTTCTTCATCTTTGGCCTTAGTGGTTGGTGTGTAAATATGAGTAACAGTAGTATTAACTGGTCTTCCTTGTAGGCATATGGATATTATCCTAACACTGACAGCATTGTACTTCAGAATAGATCTTGAAATGTTCTTTTTGACAATGAATGCTGTTCCTATTCAATTTGTCATTCCTGGCACAGTAGGCCCTATGATTGTCTGATTCAAAATGGCCAATTTCAATCCAATTCAGCTCAGTAATGCCGAGGATGTCAATCTTTAAACATTCCATTTCATTTTTTTAAAACTTCCAATTCTCCTAGATTCATACTCCATACATTAGGTTGGAAGGCACTCAAAATCTGGGAAATAGTTTCCTACTCAAAGTAGAGCTGACCTTAATAATCCATTAATGATGAGAATCATAGTTCTCTATGCAAATCTCTGTACAGTCATGTTTAGCAGGACAAAACAAGGCCTATAAATGAATCTGTATGTGGACCAAAAATGCAAACACCAAATCTCATCATGAGGAAACATCAGACAAGTCCAAATTAAGGGACATCTATACAAAGCCACAGGAGTTCTGGTAGCTAAGTGCCTAAGGCATTTGACTGCTAACCAGAAGGCTGGCGGTTCAAACCCACCAGCCATTCCTTGGAAGGAAGGTTGGGTAATCTACTAATGGCACATAACAACAACAAAATACAAAGCCACTGAGTTATATTCTCTGAAAATGTCAAGGTCAAAAGGACAAAAGGTTGAGGGACTGTTCCAAATTAAATGAGACTAAAGAGACATGACAACTAACAACCAAGATCCTTGACCAGGGGAAAAATATATATCTTTAACATATTTTATGGACACAAAGAACAAAATTTGAATATGGAATATGGACTAGACAGTAGTATTGTATAAATGTTAAACTTCCTAAGTTTAATCATTGTTCTGTGATTCTATAAGAAAATTTTATTTGCCCCTTAGGAAATACAAACATTTAGAGGTAAATGGGCACATCTCAAACTTACTCTCAAATGATCCAGGAGGAGGGAATGGATATATATTTATATATGTTGTACACACATATACATAGAATAAGGTAAATGGGACAAAATGTAAACAAATGCTCAATTGGGTAAAGGATATAAGGGACTTCTTTGTACTTTTTTTGTGATTTTCTGTAAGTTTATAACTATTAAAACAAAAGGTTTAAAAAATCTAAAATTTAAAAACAGATAAGGTGATTCAATCAAATGTCAATAAATTTTTATTTTAATTTGGTCAAGGAATATGCTAAAAAAGAATATTTTCAAATACTTACTATTTAAATGTAAAGTTTCTTCTCACAGTTGATTTTTCTGCCAAACCCCAGGATAAAATCCATGGTTCCTTAATCTACTATACTTCCTATTCCAATCTAACTTGTATTACAATTAATTGTTCATGTCTCTTTTCATAAGCAAGAACTTGAGGGCAAGCTCTCCTTGCCTTATTTGCCTTTGTGTCCTCAGGGCCTAAACACAAGACAAGTGTTCATAATACTTTATTAAGTTACAATGAATTCTCATCCATGTTACTCAGTTTTTGTTGGTCACAGGATATGAAACAGGAAGATACCTGATAGAACAGTGAATTACATTTTCCTTAAAATTTGCCTTCAAGTGTTATTTACAGTACCTAAGATATCAATAAAAGGAGCTCTGGTGGCACAATGCCCAAGGCATTTGACTGCTAACCAAAAGGCTGGTGGTTCAAATCCATCAGCTTCTTCATGGAAGGAAGATGAGGCGATCTACTTCCATAAAGATTTACCACCTTAGAAACCCAATGGGGGTCACTATGAGTTGGAATCAACTCGATGGCAATTAGTTTGGTTTTGTTTTTTTTGGGGAAGATATCAATGTTTCAAAGTAACATTCAGTGAACACTCACCTACTGAGTGCTCTTCCACAATGCAGGGCAGTCTGCTGCTCAGTTCTTCCTGCAAATCTTCAATAAGACGGTAAATGATTTTGTGAAGTTTAATCTTTACTTGCTTTTTTGTAGCTGACTGCTGGATAATATTGCCTGCATTCACATTGAAGCCATATATAATACCTGGCAAGCAGAAATCAAATCAATAAAGTGGCACCAATACTATATTATAATAGTTTGTCTTTCAAGCAGACACTCAAGTCTAGTTTTTTTTCCTTCCTGTGTAAATTAAAAGCAATTTGGGGAGATGAGAAATTCTAATTCTATTTTTTCTTTTTCCTCATAAAAACTAGTAAAACTTTAAAACTAATGAGAGTTAGAATTTTTTAAATTGTGGCTTAACAAGGGAAATTTCTTTATGATTTTAAATCCATTCATTTAGAAAACATTATTTACGTGCCCTAATTTAAAAAGCAGTATACTACAAAAATACCATAGAGGGTGTAAAACATTCTTGCATTAAACAAAACAAATTTTAAAATTAACTCAAACAGCTTAATCCAGAGAAAAACACAACCTTGAAAAGCATAACATTGGAAGTGTTATCATTAAGAAATAATCCAATATACTGTCTACATTACATAGCATAGTGCTATGCCAGTCAGTGTCTAACAAATATATTGAATTAATCAGTATTACTGAAAAATACCTTGGGGTTAAGGTGACATCTAATGCTAATCAAGTCAGGTTATTAAGTACCTCCTTCTTAAATGATTAGGAGCTTTGGTGGTTTAGTGCCTAAGGCATCTGATTGCTAATCAGAAGGCTGGTGGTTAAAACCCACCAGCCACTCCTCAGAAGGAAGGTTGGGCAATCTATTTCCGTAGTGATACTGCCTCAGAAACCCAAGGAGGGTTCACTATGAGTCAGATCCAACCCGACGGCAGTGCGTTGTGTTGTCTTAAATGATTAATTAATTACTCAAAAATGCTTGTGCTTTACTAGGTATTAGACCTAGATAAAATGACAGTCATGAGTTCCTCTTTAGTATATCATAAGCTTGATTAATAAAGACAGTTTCTCTCCCTTCTAGGCTTTATTTAAAGCTAAAAGAAGCTTTTGATCTAAGAAAGATGTGATGCAAAAAGTTATCAATAAAAAGTGAAAAACAAAGGGAAGTTCTAAATAGCCTGGTTACAGTGTTAGCATTCAAACGTCTAATAGAGAGTCAATTTTGGGTTGGAGTGGGGAATTAGGAGGAGGGGAGAGAGAACAATAGCAATGCCCAGAAAGAAAAATCAAGAAACACTACTGGGGCTTGAAAGAGTTACCAAGTTTGCACTACAACAGCAACAAGTGGAGCTACGGCTGCAATACTGCAGATCCCATTGCACCTCAGTTGCTAGCTGGGACTTGACTGCAGTGGAGAGATGCTGATGGAGATAAACATCAGGTGGGACTAGCCAAGCAGCAAAAGACAGAAGCAAATGGTTCAAAGAGTGATCTAGGAAGCATAGTTAAACAAATTGGAAATGGAATCCTTACCACCAAATGTTTCAGCAAGGGTAACATCATTTTCACTAATATCACCCACTCCAAAATGTACTAATTCTAGTTTACACTCATGTGAAGCATCATAAGTATCTATAATGTCCAAAATGGCCTCAACAGAACCATCAACATCACCTAAATAGAGAAAAAGTTTTAAATTGATGTCAAGAGGTAGGAATTAACAGAAACAAAAAATCACAACCTATTTAAAGCCATGATAGAAATGACATCTACTACTAAATCCACCTTTATTTGGGTTTAGCATTAAAAATATCTACTTAATAAAGTATAATGAACCAAATATACACTTACAACAAAATCATCAAGAAATATGTTAACTAAGAAAACTGCCCCAAAATATTTTTGGCATAATTAAAGTCTCAAACTAATTGTGAGAATAAATAAATTTGTATAGTCCAGAAATTAGGTGTAAAGTAAAATCCTTAAAAAGGCACCTTTAATAATTATAGGAAGTACATTTGAATCTCTTTCTGCTTTCTCCTTTGGCTTTAAGAATTTTTGTTCTTTTTTTTCTTGGTACTTTAAAAATGATCTCTCCTTCCAATTCAAAGTGCCATATTTTTCACGGTCTTTCCAATGTGATTCTTGGTGTTCCTTCCGCTTTTCTTCTATTATTTTCATATCATCTTTATTTTTCTCCTGTTCTTGTTTATACTTCCTCCAGTCAAGAACTTCTCGTGCTCTTGCCTGCATTAGAAATAAATTGGCATTATTTTTTCTTTCCAGAAATTTATAAAATTTTATTTGGGAGGTTTTGTTTACAATGGAAATTAATTAATCACTGCTGTCGAGTTGATTCCGACTCATAGCTACCCTTCCTTGGGTTGCCGAGGCGGTATCTCTATGGAAGTAGATTGCCCAATCTTGCTTCTGAGGAGTGCATGGTGGGTTTGAACTGCTAGCCTTCTGGTTAGCAGTCAAATGCCTTAGGCACTTCACTACCAGTGCTCCCAATTATTTAATTAAAAATGTTAAATTAAAAAGTCGATAGCCAAATTCCAAAACTTTACAAGTGGCTTCTCATAGCCCTTATGTTCTAGAGTTATTTGTTAATATTAATATGCTTATTCAATATAGCATTTTAGAGGGATATTTAAAATCATTATAGCATATCTAATAAATAGGAATTAAGCTTGATATACCTCAGATTCCACTTCAAGAATTTCATCACCAGCTGAAGGAAGGTCCCTCCAGCCTATAATTCCCACCGGCAAACTGGGACAGGCCTCGTTGATTGTTTTGCCATTTTCATCAAACATTGAGCGTACTTTTGCCCAACATTTTCCAGCAACCAGAACTGAGCCTTTTCTCAAAGTTCCTCTTTGAATTATAGCTGTAGTAACCGGACTAAAATGGAAGTAAAAGTAGTATCTTTATTCCTAAGGTCATAATTAGGATGTAATTGTATTTCTTCTATAAAGCAAAGACATCCTTATGAAGTTTAAAAATATACATATGTACAGACAGGGTTAATACTCATCACTTCTCAAGTTAAGCAGTTTTCCAACTTTAAAAAATGTTTAAGATTACACTTGGGATGTGTCAGGAGGTAGAGTGCTCTGACAAAATTCCTAATTCCCTTTCTATAATCGATTTATTATGTAGTAAGAAGCCCTCTCTTGCTGATAAAAAAGGGAAATTCAAGAAGAAAACACCATTCCTAAGAATATAATAATAAATGATATTAATGTGTAAGGTCATCAAGAACTTAGAACACCTAAAATACAGCAATTGGTATCCCATCCTAATTTATGTTAGTGTATGTTGTTGTGGTTGTTTGCCGTCGAGTCGGACTCGACTCATAGTGACCCCTTCCTTAGGTTTCCAAGGCAGTATAACTACGGAAGTAGATTGCCCCATCTTCCTTCCAAGGAGTGGCTGGCGGGTTTGAACCGCCAGCCTTCTGGTTAGCAGTCAAGTGCCTTAGCCACTATGCTACAGAAGTAGATTGCCCAACCTTCCTTCTGAGGAGTGGCTGGTGGGCTTGAACCGCCAGCCTTCTGGTTAGCAGTCAAGTGCCTTAGGCACTACACTACCAGAGTTCCTGTTAGTCTATGAGGCACTGCCAATTCAGTCAAGTCAGTGAAAAAGAACTCAAATAAATATAACGATTTAACTCATCCAAATACGACTGCTAGATGTAGGCAGGACAGTTACTATGGTTACTAATAATCAACATTTTTGTGCTTTGTGTGCTAGAACAATAAAATACTTTTCAAAAGGTATGCTTTGAAAATATTGTTAATGGAGTTACAATAACATGTAATAAAAATAATACATTGTGAAAATCAAGTCACAGAAACCATAGAAAAAAAATTATTAATGACCAAGAATTGTAAAGGTCCTACCCTCTTCCTTTGTCTGTGAAAGACTCTATTACTGTTCCTTCCACTGGGCCAGTGGGGTCTGCTTTCAGTTCTAATATCTCTGCTAAAGCAATTGTTGCTTCTGCCAAAGCCATTAGATTATTGCCCTTGAAAAACAAAAAGTATTAACATTATCTGTAAATGTAAATACCAGGGTTAGAGAGCCAAAAATTCTTGACTGTTAGTATATTATTCTCTTTAAGCATTAAAATCATGAATTACCCATTAAAAAAAGAGAAGAAAACAATCGGCAAGAAAACTTAACTGAGGGACAGATCTTGCAAGGAACAAGTGGCTGTTTTTAAAGGATGACTGTTGGTGGTATTTGCTAATTCTCTTTCATAAACCCATGCTTCATTAATTCTCTTTGTCCCAAATCTATTTCTGCAATTTGTTTTCTTCCTGTCATTAACTTTCTTAATGATACTACTTTACATTTGACGGTCTATACAATTGAACAAACTTTCATATCTATTATCTCCTTTGACCTCCTTAAGAATCCTGTAAGTAAATCAAGTATTACTCAGTGAATGAGGAAAAAAAGCACTGACTCTAAGCCACACTCTGCAACCACCCAGCTGCAAAGCCTTGAAAATTCAATTCACCTACCTGGTCTACCTTTCCTCAAATGCACAATGAAGGGGCTAGATTAGATGAATCACCTTTAAGGATCTATGTTTGCTATTCTCTCTAAAGCTCCAAGATCATTCAAGTGATTAACTGGAGATGAAACTAAACTTGTGGTCAAGACATTTCCCATTCTCACTCTCCATCAGCTAAGAGATTGTTCACAGTTGTTACACTGTATAAAACAGAGGCAACTGTAAAAGACTGACTACTTTGTTTACCCATCCATTTATTCCTAGTATGTGTTCCAATTTATGAAATGCTGCTCCAAAAAACAGAGCCAGGGTTCGTTTTTTATGAAATAATCCTCTATCTCTATCTTATGCCATGGAAAAGAAGGTCTCATCTTACTTCCCTGATACTCCAACTCTCCCTATCCTATCATTTCTTTCTTTTTTTTCCTTTAATATTTTATTGTGTTTTCAGTGAAAGTTTACACAGCAAACTCACTTAACAATTTCTACACAATTTGTTCAGTGACATGGGTTATATTTTTCATAGTATGTCAGTAAAAACTCTCATTACTTCTGTTCAGGCTGTTCCATTTCCAGTAATCTAGTTTCCCTGCCCTCTTGCCTTCTTATCTTTGCTTACAATAAATGTTGACTGCTTGGTGTCATAGAGATGATTTTTTAAAGGAGCATAGTACTCATGGGTGATACTGTTTATTTTATGAGCCAATCTATAATTTACCTAAGAGAAGACCTCATGGTATAGTTTCAGTTCAAGGTTTAAAGAGTATCTCAAAGGCAATAGTCTCAGAGAGTTTTTCAGTCTCAATTTGTTCAGTAAGTCTGGACTTCTAAAGAATTTGAGTTTTGTTCCACCTATTTCTCCCATTCTATCAGAATCCATCAATTGTGGCCCTGATCAGAATGATTGGTAGTGGTAGCCAGGCACCATCTAGTTCTAGTCTCAGGGTAGATGAGGCCATGGCTCATATAGACTATTAGTCCTACAGACTACTTTCTTCTCTGAGTCTTTGGTTTTCTTCTTTCTCTTTTACTCCAGATGCATAAAGACCAATAGTTCTATCTTAGATGGCCACTCATAAGTGCTACTCACTAAACTAGGATGTAGAACAAAAACTTTATGTACTATACTGTGCTAAGTGACCAAGTTGTCCCATGACATAATGGCCCTAAGTCTTCAGACCCTGTAAACCAATTCTGTGAGGTGTTTGGTTTGTGCCTCCAATGTGCTTTATTCTATATTCGAACATATATGGATAACTATCCTATTACTTCTGCTTAAAACAGTCTTTAGCCTAGTGTTTCCCTATTCCCAAATCATTCACTATCTATCCTATACATTCTGTGTCTCATAATGAGAAAATCATTAGATTTCTATCTGATTCCCCACTCATCAGCTTTGTGAGCACAAACTGTTGACTGACCTTTCTGAGCCTAACCCCAAATCAGCCAACAAGTTCAATGATGCCAGCTTTGCATAGTACCCACATAACTTTTTAAACAACAACAGAAATAATGTATGTCAAAATGCTCTTTAAATATAATGCACTCTGTGTATCAGGTATACCGTTACCAAGTGAGGTGCCCACATTTACCGTAAGTGCAGAGACATGCACTGCTTGTACATCTCCTCCATAATCCTCACACACCACATCGTAAGCCATCAGCTCTTTTTTCACTTTTTCAGGATCAGCCTCAGCTTTGTCACATTTGTTTATGGCAAGTACAATAGGAACTAAAAGAGATGGATTTAAGAAGAGTACAAATGGTGACACCTCCAATCCTGCATATTCACAGTGAAAGATGCCTCCTTGTTCTCACTTTCTCTTCACTCAGTGGCCATACTTATCTAACAAAGAGCTAAAAGACCCATTTTAGAGTCACACCACCCCTACTCCAATCTTTTTGTATAAAGAGGGAATCCAGCTGTCAGAATTTAAAAAGCAGATTCTGAATTAAGAACAGATACCTAAGATCAAATGGACAATTATTTTGAATAGAGAAAGGTCTATCCTTATATGTGAAAGCAAGATTAGTAGCTACATTGGAGATACACTCCAGAGGAAAATCAAGGGAGGATCAGTATCATTAGATCATTCTCTTCTTTCCAGGAACTATTATCTCATTTTTAATAACAACACCTCATTCTGGGTATCATTAATTCAAATTTTCTTTTAAAATTTACAGTAACTCTTTATTCATATACCTAGCTCAGTAGTTGACGCACAGCAGGCTCTTAATAAACATCTCCTTATGAATGAAGTAAGTAACCCTATAATCAACTTGTCATTACTAGACATACCCACATATTACAGAAAGGAGATAACACAAAATTCTAGAAGATAACTCTCCAGGTGAGTTTCAACATCTCTGCAATTTTCACAGGTATAAAAGGAAAAGAAATTGAAAATAGATACAACAAAGCTATGCAATCCACAAACCACTATTATGAAAAAATGCATTCCACTTTGATTATTGTTGTTGTTGTAATGTGCCATCGAGTATGACCTGACTCATAGAGACCCCTCCTTGGGTTTCCGAAGCAGTATCACTATGGAAGTACATTGCCCAACCTTCCTCGCGAGGAGTGATTAGCTCTAACTTTTTTGGGACCAAAAGAATAAACCAAAAAACAAACCCACTGCCATCAAGTTGATTCCAATTCATAATGACCCTATGGGACACAGTAGAACTGCCCCATAGCATTTCCAAGGCTGTAAATCTTTATGGAGGCAGACTGCCTCATGTTTCTCCCGTGGAGTAGCTGGTGCGTTCAAACTGCTGACCTTCTGGTTAGCAGCCCGGTGCTTTAACCACTGCACCACCAGAATGCAAAGATGAAACAATAAATTGATCCTATCGTGACCATTTCTTCCATTTGCCATGTATTCTCTTTGACCATTAAGAGCACAGTGCATCCCACAAAGGCAGTTTTAAGGAATTAAAAAGGAAAGAGAGTAACATCAGAAACTAGAAGACCTAGATTTCAGAATTAGACACGTTGCAAATTAGCAGTGCCTCCTGGGAGAGTTACTGCTGTTCCCTGGTCTTACGTTTTCATGTGTGAGATAAAAGAATTGGATTGCATCAGTGATTCTTAACCTTTTTTCCCCTTGCCAACAAACTTGGGGACTATGACACACTCTGTCAGGTATGCTTTCTCAAGATGACAGTATTCTCTCAGTTAGAAGCAGGTAAAGGATCTTACTAGAGTCAGAGTCAAAGGAGAGAGTCTATGTGTATGTGGTGGTCATTATTACAATTTCTAAATGATAAAATAAAGGAGGAAATGGCCAAGTGATTTTCTAAAAGTTTCAATTATATATTTGATCAAATTAGAATTATGTGAAGTAGATGAGGAGATAGTTTCTCTTTATAGAATTCCAGATGATAAATGAAGAAGGAATAACAGAAGTAGAATATCACCACTTTGCAGCCCCCACAAAGGGATTTATTATTCTATGCTTCCTACTTTTGCATCTTTTTATTCATGACAAAAAGTTTTTAAAAAAAGTTATTTGAGACTGTCAAATTCTCACACCATAACAAGTAAATGAAGAGGAGGGAAGAATTGCACTAGTGGTCACAATCCCACATTGAATCCTGTCACATTCTTCTGATTAAGTTATATGTCTGTGGGAAAGTAATTTAAACATCTTTGAGCCTTACTTATAAAACAGACATAATAATCTTGGGACTGCCATGAAGATGAAATGAGCTACATGCAAATGTCCTAGCATAGTGGCTCTATGTAGATCCTTAAAAAAAAAAAATTCCTTCCTGATACACGTAAGTCACCTACACAGTACCTTGAGCATCTTTGGCATGCTGAATAGATTCTATAGTTTGTTTCATTACACCATCATCTGCTGCTACAACCAATATGACAATGTCAGTGACTTGAGCACCTCTGGCTCTCATTGCTGAGAAGGCAGCATGTCCTGGAGTATCAAGAAAGGTGATCTGTTCCCCAGAAGGCAGAGAGACTGTATAAACAGAAATGCAAAAGCACTATGACTCAAATGTGTACTTTCTTAATACAATTAAGAAATTGTATTAATTATTAAATCAATAATTTCAGTAATCCTTTAATTTTATTTCTTCTTTTAATTATAATCACAACAATACAGATCATCATTTCACAATGAGAAATGATAACATACCAGTGAGACTTAGGGGTTTTTTCCTTTCATCTGATGGTCTCAAACTAAAACTCTTCTCATTTCTAGAACAGACGGTAACTACTTTCACACATGTGCTAACTGATAGCTATTGTGGAGAGAGAAAAGACCTACAGTCATATGGGCAGCCAGTCACATTAGCAAATGGCAGCTGCTGCCTGGAGCTACAGAAAGGCAATTCAGGTAACAGTTGGCAGCTCAGGATTTAGAAGTCAGCAGCCATGGGTTTGAATCTTGGCTTTGCCACAGACTGCGTAACCTTGGGCAACTTGCTTAACCTCATGAAGCCTTGGCCTTCTCATCTGCAAGTAAGAATATTAACACCTACCTCATAATGTTGTTGTGAAGGTCAAAAAGACAAAGCATTTAAGTGCTCAGCCCAGCATTGGGTACATGCTAGGAACTCCATAAATGGTAGCTAGCACTCTTAGCAACATTACAACCTAGTATTTATTATATAAATCATATAAACATGATTACATATTATATAAATATAGTTAATAAATTAATGAAGAATTTTAGGCTCATTCAGTCCAACTAAGAATGGGCTAGAATGAAGAAATAATGTTTTTCCTACAGAATGTACAAAATAACCTTTATAACTACCCACTCTACATTCATCAAACCAATGTCTTTAAGTCTGATTTAATTAGCCTTCCCTTTGACTTTGGATTTATATATTTCATATTATGACAACTGCTTTAAGAAAATCCGAAGCGGGGTTCCCAAGCATGTTGTAAGGTAATTTGCGTTCATACCAAGAAAGGCACCAATGTGCTGAGTGATGCCTCCAGCTTCCATTGCTGCCACTTGAGTTTTTCGTAGTTTGTCAAGTAACGTGGTTTTCCCATGATCAACATGGCCCATTATAGTAACAACTGGAGACCGTGGGGTTAATAAAGCTGGATCTGCCTGGAGCCTACAATTAACAGCAAAGGAGTTTCATTTCTTAAATACCAAAAACAGTTCATATTGGCAGGCAGTTATTTCTGTGAGCTTCCATTAACAGCAAAAACCAAACATTCAGATTTGATTAGATGTGATTACTTTCACCTTCTATACAGATAAGGACTTGTGGCAGAACATATAATTACAGACCACCTATGGTTGACATCTTCATAGCAACAAGCAGAACGGAATCACATTTTAAATTTCAGAATTAATATACACATTCAGAAAACTAAAAAAAAAAAAAAAAAAATAGCCCTTACAGTTTTCTAATGACTTGAATACTTTATGATGCTGTAAGTACTTTAAAGAAGAGTTGATCCTACTATACGTGGACATTATTTTAATTAGAAAAGAAACTTTCCATTAAAAAGTATGAGTAAAATTTAATATAGTTTCCCCCACACACAACATATATAGTTAAGGTTTACCTTCTTACTGCATCTTTATTTTCTCTAACTTTGTCCTGTTTTAATTTGCTCCATTTTAACTTCATCCCTGCCTTCTTTATCACTTCTTTGATACAGACTTCATCTAAATATGAGTTTGCTTCTAGTGAATCACTGTCAATAGCAGTGTTCAATAAAGCTTCATATATACAATCTGGTTGGAATAAAATAAAACCTTTTAGGATGATGAATTAAATGCTCAAAAAAGGGATCTCTATTAGTAAATGTCTATATAAACAGTACATTCAATGAATGGAATAACTACAAACTATTTGTTTCTCTGATGTTAATAGATCACAAAAAAAGCTGAAAAGAAAAACTCTTTAAAATATGATGCAATTATAATCATTGACATTTCTGCATATTCACAAATATTTGAAAATAAGGATAACTCAGGCAATAAAATACCCTCTGAACCATTAATGAAACACTAAATTGCATGTTATATACATTTAATACCAAGTACAGAATCAGTCTATTTTTTTTTGACAACTTGGAGTTACATGTTATGCATACAGAAATGTGTATGTGTATATACACACAAAGAGATTTAAAAAAATGCATGCAGTATGTATTTCTCAAAACATATAACAAGAAAAAAAAAACACTGCCATGGAGTCAATTTTGACTCATAGTGACCCCCCATAGGGTTTCCAAGGCTGTATACCTGTATGGAAGTAGATTGCTTCATCCTCCTTCTGCAGAGCAGCTGTTGTTGTTGTTGTTGTTATGTGCTGTGGAGTCGGACTTGACTCATAGTGACCCCACTTTTGGTTTCCAAGGCAGTATCACTACAGAAGTAGATTGCCCAACCTTCCTTCCAAGGAGTGGCTGATGGGTTTGAACCAGCAGCTTTCTGGTTAGCAGTCAAATGCCTTAGGCACTATGCTACCAGAGCTCCTGCAGAGCAGCTAGTGGGTTTGAACCACCAACCTTGGCGTTAGCAGCCAAATGCCTTACCCACTGCACCACCACAGCTCCTTATTTATTTGTGTATGTATCTATTTAGGATAACCAAAAAGTCTTGAAATATAGGAAAATACTCATTTATTACTCTTTTTTATTTCATTTCATTTACTATGTTTTATATAACTCTCAGTCACACTTCCCTGTGGATCATAAATAAATAGTGATGATAGGATAAATAGTTTGATGGTTCCAGACTTTCAATCACCTTAAAATAAATATATATTTGTTGTTATGTGCCGCTGAGTCGAACCCGACTCAGAGTGACCCCTCCTTGGGTTGCCGAGGCAGTATCACTACGGAAGTAGATTGCCCAACCTTCCTTCCAAGGAGTGGCTGGTGGATTTGAACCACCAGCCTTCTGGTTAGCAGTCAAGTGCCTTAGGCACTATGCTACCAGAGCTCCTAAATATATATTTAGTGACAGGAAAGCAAGACATCCTCAGATAAGCAAAAACATTTGACTGAAAGAGCATTCTATTCAGTGGTATGCTGGTGAATGCCTGATAACTCTCCAAAAGAAAAACAAAACAAAACAAAAAACCTGATCTATAGTATAAATACTCCCATCAGCTACCAATGTGAAGTCACTGGACACAGAGATGAGAAGAGATGTATAGTAAGTAGCACACTACTTTTTATATATATTATATATTATTTATATATATAATATATATAAACTATTTTAATATATAATAATGTATACAATATACATATAAACTATTTTTATATAGATTATATATACATTCGGAAGGAAGGTTGGGCAATCTACTTCCATAGCGATACCGCCTCAGAAACCCAAGGAGGGGTCACTATGAGTCAGATCTGACTCGACGATAGTAAGTTATATATATGTGTATATATATATACATACACACACACATATATATAATATATATATTTTATATATATATAAAATATTATATATATAATATGTATATATTATATATATAATTTCCACCAAGGAAATATAATAGGCATAAATAATCTCAAGATAACAGTAAAATGCTGATGAAGTAAAGCGTTTTTGTTAATATGTATTACCTTCTATATAATTTAATTTTAATAATGGCTCTGCTAAACAACCAACTCAGAAAATTTCTTAAAATTCAACAATGGGCTCTCATGTGCCATCCCTAGCACACCACTGATCCTATGCCTTAATAATGCCAAAGAACCATTTCCTATATATCCCATATTCTTACTCAAAAGAAAACATTTTAAAAATGATAAAACTAAAAAAAAAAAATGATACAACTCAAATTTACTATGTGGATATACTCTCACAAACTATAAAACTCTTTCAAAATGAAAATTATAATGAGTACAATGTTCTTGCTGTTTCTAATAATGCTAAAAATCCCTAGTGGTCCAGTTCCTACAGTTTTCCAACATGTTATCCTAAAGTTTTGAGAGGTGGCTTATACAAGGGGATAATCTTTCCCCATCTATGTTAGATGTATATGGTATTTATCTTTAGCCAACACTTAATATTCACATGTAGAAAAGAGCTTAAAATACTTCTAACAGAAATATTATATCAAGTTATTTTAGATGACCAAGGGAAGAAGAAAAAGAAATACTCATCTTGTTAATACACTACTTAAAAATAATTACCTTATGAAAGTTATCTTTAATTCAGAAGAGATTTAAATATACTAAATAAGCTTCAAATAGACTATTTCTTATTTAAATCATAGAAAATCAGTTTGGGGTTTATAGCACTGTTACATGGGACTAAGTTTACATTTTAATTAGTCTATTTACTTGGTGATATTAAGAAATAATGTAGTTATATGTTTGTTTGTTATTTTTGTTAAAAAAAAAGGAATCCATATCTTGGAGAGATACATACTGAAGCATTTTGAATTAAATGATATATTAAAATTATTGTCACTGTGCAAAAAGGACTTGGAGGCGGCACCCTCTGACTTCCTCCAATCCCAAGAGGGGGAAAAAGAATCACCATCAACAGCCCAAGGCTTATTCCTATGAGGCCAAACAGGTGTCCACCCTCCAGCCTTTTACCAATCATGACACCAATGGTCCCTCCCACAGCACTCACTACTTCTCTGCTGGGTTCAATAATTCATTGCAATGGCTACAGAGAACTCACAGACAATACTATTATGAGGTTTACTAGGGAAGTAACTGCCTACAATTCAGGTTCAAGAACATGCTCTGGATACAATTCTTTGATCAGGACAGTATCCCCTATGCTGTGCCCTCAGACATGTCTCTCTGGCCCTTGGCCCCTTTTTCTTTTGATGGCACTGAGATACTTCCTGTCTGCCTCTAGGAAGGCTCATTTTAAGCCTGTG